TCACCTCACCTAAAGACAAAGCTGAATTGTTTGCTAAGAACTTTTCATCAATATCATCTCTTGATTCCACTAGTTGCGTTTTACCTGACATAGCCGTCAAACAGGTTGATCCCTTGCTTGACATTCGCATCACTTCAGCTTCTGTATCTAAAGTAATTTCCTGCTTAGACTCTTCAACAGCTTGTGATCCTGACAACATTCCTGTTGTAGTCTTGCAGAAGTGTTCTCCGGAGCTTTCATCCATACTTTCTAAACTATTTAACAAGTGCTTATCAGAGTCTTGTTTTCCATCATGCTGGAAAGCAGCATCTGTTATCCCTATTTTCAAAAATTCCGGAGAGCGATCTGATTCATCTAACTACCGTCCCATTAGTCTTCTTCCTGTCATAAGCAAGGTTTTTGAATCTTTAATCAACAAACACTTAATCTCTCATCTTGAATCAAATAACTTACTTTCTGATCATCAATATGGATTTCGGTCTTCTCGTTCTACAGCTGATGTGCTAACAGTAATAACCGATAGGTTTTACCGTGCATTAGATAGAGGTGGAGAGGTTAAGGCTATCGCACTTGACATTTCTAAAGCTTTTGATAAAGTTTGGCATGCTGGTCTTCTCCATAAGCTTTCTTCTTATGGTGTAGCTGGTAACAACTTTAAGATTATTGAGTCCTTTCTTTCCAATCGTAGTATAAAAGTTGTCCTCGATGGACAACACTCTTCTTCACATCCTGTAACTTCAGGGGTTCCTCAAGGCTCAATCCTTGGCCCTATACTCTTTTTAATTTACATTAACGATCTTCCAGATATTCTCACATCTAAGGTGGCATTATTCGCTGACGACACTACCATTTACTCTTGTCATGATAAGAAGCCTACACTCTCTGATTGCTTGGAGGGGGTATCTGAGCTTGAAAAGGATCTCACTTCTGCTACAGCATGGGGCTCACAGTGGCTGGTGAACTTTAATTCAGATAAAACTCAATTTTATTCGGCCAATCGTTATCGTAATAATTTAGATCTTCCTATATTTATGAATGGTAATGTATTAGATGAGTCATCTACCATTCATCTTCTAGGATTAACTCTTACTTCTGATCTTTCTTTTAAACCGTATATCAAATCCATTGCAAAATTAGCATCTGCTAAGGTTGCATCTCTTTATCGAGCTCGACACTTTCTTACTCCAGATTCTATTCTCTATCTCTATAAATCTCAAATCCGTCCCTGTATGGAATACTGTTGCCACATCTGGGGCGGATCTTCTAATGATGCTCTTTCTCTTTTAGACAAGGTGGAAAAACGAATTGTAAACATAGTTGGACCTGCTCTGGCAGCCAATCTCCAACCTTTGTCACATCGTCGTAATGTTGCTTCTCTTTCTCTTTTCTACAAATACTATAATGGGCACTGCTCTAAAGAGCTAGCGTCCCTTGTGCCATCTACTAAAATTCATTCTCGTGTTACTCGCCATTCAATTAAGTCTCATCCTTTTTCTGTGACTGTTCCTAAGTGCTTCAAAAACTCTTATTCTTCTAGTTTTTTTCCTCGAACATCAGTTCTTTGGAATTCGCTTCCTTCATCTTGCTTTCCTGATTCATATAATTTGCAATCTTTTAAGTCATCAGTCAATCGTTATCTTGCTCTACAGATTTAGCCTTCTCTCTTCCAGTAACTTCCAACTCTTATAGTGGTTGCTTGCAGCCTTGTTGGAAGTGAAGATGTTAAAAAAAAAAAAAAAAAAAAAAAAAAAAAAAAAAAAAAAAAAAAAATGTTGTAACTTTCCTTTCATTAAAACTGTTTTGCTTTTCTTCTTTTCTTTCTTGTTTACTATTTTTTTAATCCATTTTCTTTTACTTTCTTTTATTTTCTTATCTTTCTTTTTTTTTTTATAATTCAAAGTTTTTTTTTATTTTTTTTTATTTTAGCTTTTCTTCAACTTTATTTTTTAATTTGTTTGTTTTAAATTAGTTTTTTAATAGATTGTTAACTATTTTATAAAAATTTTATAATCTAACATTTATAAAAAAATATATATTAAGAATATATCTGTTTTTCTTTATTCTTTTTCTTTTACTTTATATACATTAAAAAAAATATGTCAGACTTATCAAAGATATTGTTTAGAAGAACTATAACTTTAACTAATCCAATAACTTTATCTTTAATTAATTTAACTTTAAAGTTAATTACAAATAAAGCTAAAAATTTTTTTTATTGCTAGATTTAATTGTAAAAATTTATATATATATATATATATATATATATATATATATATATATATATATATATCAACCCTCAGAATAAGGAAAAATGAGGTCGGCAATAATTTGCCAACCTCAAGCTTTTAGAGATGAGCAAAAAAAATTGATACAAAGGTCTTACCATAAAACATAAAAATGAGGTCAGCAATATTTTGCCAACCTCAAACACTTTTAGGTTGGCAGTTAGGTCGGCATTGCCAAATGCCAACTCTGAGGGTTGATAATTCTGAGGGTTGATATATATATATATATATATTATAAATATATATATATATATATATATATATATATATATATATATATATATATATATATATATATATATATATATATATATATATATATATAAATACATAACATAAAATAAACACATAATATAAGATAAATACATAATAAAAGAGTGTAAATTGACTGAGAGTTTTGGTTTGGGGTTTAGTAGACTTCAAATTACGTTAACAAATAACCAAAATAATTTGTAAAATTCTTTCAATACTAACTTAAAAATATTTTTTTTAAATATCAAAACAAACTAATGAAAAAGAAGTTGATTTTAAAAGTTATGAAATTAACTTGAAGTGAAACCATCTTCTATAACCACTTTTTTAAAAAAATTGCTATGACGATAACAGAAACTATAAAAAAAGGATATTATAAGTAATTTAAATTTCACATCAAAAATTATTTTCTTAGCTTTGATATAGTTAGTTAGTTTGTTACATTTGGTACCAAATAAGAAATAGAAAGAGATTTGTGGCAATTAATGGATTTTTTTTCTTATCAATAATAAATTTTTTATGAAAATGTTTATTGCAATTTATTATTGATAAATTTTTGTTCAAATGGTAGATAATAGATAGCTCTTTTCATCTTGTTAAACTTTTTGGCCTGGTTTATCGATATTGATAATAAAACTGGTAATAAAATATGAAATATGCCAATAATTGAGCACCTGCAACTGTGTCACTACCATAATATATAAGATTTATATTCAAGATTTATTTATAAAAATTTATTTTTAAGATTTTTAATCTAATTTATAAGACTTATTTATGAATGTATTTTCATTTTATAACACATTTTATATATTATTATTATTATTATTATTATTATTATTATTATTATTATTATTATTATTATTATTATTATTATTATATAATTATATAAGATTTTTATATAAAATTTATTTTGAAGACTTGTAAAGTTTTCAAATCAAGTATTACAGACATAAGAAACCGTAATTGGTTTCATTTAATGGAATAATTTTAAAAAACTTTTTTATTATCTAAGATTTAAGATCTACTTGGAGTAAAACAGAAAAATAATTTTTTTTAGATCTTTGCTAAATTTTTAAACTCAATTAATCAAAGAAGATCATTAATGAGTTAATTAATGAAGATATCATAGCAAAACCACTCAACAAAGAACATTTTTTTATAAAGTGTCCTAAAAAGTTTTTTTTGAGCATTCTTTTTAAGTAAAAATTGGATCCACTTATTTAAAAAAAAAAAAAAAAAACGATTGAAAAAGTGATTTAAAGATGTAGAAAACTAAACATGTTAAATTGTTTTAATGTCATTGTTAACAGCTCTTTTATCCAATCTGCCTAAAAACATTCAAACTTTTCCATAAAATCACAAACAAGCAATCCAGTTGGTAAAAGTGTTTGCAGCTGGCAAGAATTATGAATTTAAATACAATTAAAATGTTTTAGTGTTATTTAAAGAGTAATTTTCAATTTTACTTGATGACTTTTTTTTTACCTAATTTTCAAATTTACTGGATAAATTTTTTGACCTCCCCAAGGTCAACAAGACCGCTACAGTCAAAAAAGGCTACTTTATTATGTTTACAAATTTTTCTTAATTCTTAAACTATGAAACATTAACAAGGCCGCTGCACAGAGTAACAAGTTTAGGGTGGTACTACCAGGGACATGGTGGGAATCAAACTCAGAATGTCAAGCGCTCTACCACTACACCACTACCTAGAGTACATATAGAGTACCCTGAATATATACAAATGACTCAAATTTCTGCCAAATTTTTTATTAAATATCATGGAAAGACTAAATTTGTCACCTCAAAAAAATACAGCAACTTTCACATGATAGTTTATGCAATTATCACATAAATCTTGTTCTTGAACAAATTAGTTTTTTTGTAAAAAAAAAAAGAAACAAGATTAATGTGTAAAACAAAAAATATTTTTTTAAACAAAAAATTTAAAGAGTTAAGCAAACAAATATTTGAATAAAAAATATTTGGTAACTTTTATATTCTAAATGCTTGTCTAATAACAAAAAGAATGTTACCATCAAATTTTCTAGGAAATAAAGACCTGTAATGGAAAAATATTTAAAAAAAATTATTTTATGAAAAACAAATCCAATTAAAAATTTGTTCTTAACCATAAATAGTATTTTATGCAAAGTATTGCAAAATGCAAAGTTTGCAGCTTATTAGTCATAAAGAATTATCATAAAGAATTATCTTAAACCATTCATAAAGAATTACGATAATCATTCATTACTTCAAGCCCCATCTATAAATAATATTACATGAAGTCCTATCTATTCAACATAACTTGAAGTCCTATCTATTTAACATTACTTAAAGTCCTATCTTTTCACAAATTATTCTATTCACAAATTATTGAAGTCCTACTTATTCAACATTACTTGAAGTCCTATCTATAAATAATGTTAACAAAACCAAAAAACATTCATAAAAAATGTTAACCTCATTGGATGTAAATCAAACAGCGGTGGTTGACATTCAGCAATTTCAATAGCTGTTATTCCAACAGCCCATATGTCACACTAGTTTGTAAAATGTTTTTGAAAATTAATTAAATATGATTAAAAAAAAAAGACATGACAACCATTAAATATACATACAGCAAAATTGTATCCTCCAGTTCTTTCTACAGCAGCTACTTCAGGTGCCATCCTTAAGAAAAATTTATGTAAAAGAAACTCCTAAAGTTCAAGAAATTCTTATACTTCATGGAGTTATCTTAATTTATTACCAATAAGGTGTTCCAATAAAAGAACTTCTTTTTCCAATTGTACTTGTAATTTGTGCCCCAACCCCAAAATCAGCTATAACACAAAATTTAATAGAATATGTAAGTAAATTGCAAACATAAGATGTATTAAAAAATTAATACCAAACAAAAAATGGATAAAAGATGATAAAATATATAAGCAGTTTAACTTAAATTATTCAGAGAATTAAAAAATAAAATTTATGTTAGCACACATTTATATTATATTAATTTTAATAAAAACAAGTTACTACAATTATATTTTTTTAAATTGGCATATAAATTTACCACATGGTCACATGCAGGAAAAATTGAAATACACTAAAATAAAAAACTATTTTTAAACAAAGCATATTTAGACTTCTATTGATCTTATAGTTGTCAAGATAAAAACAAAGAATAATAGATGTTATTTTTGATTTTTTGATAATAATTTATAACAAGTCTTGTTTTTATTTACATAAAATCAACTTTAGATAAACTTTAAATCAAATAGTTTTATGTTATATTTATTTTAACTAGCTGACCGAACCTGTAAAAATACTGGTCTTAGTAAGTCTATTCCAAACCAACTTTTTCTATACTTTCTCCTTATATATATATATATATATATATATATATATATATATATATATATATATATATATATATATATATATATATATATATATATATATATATATATATATATATATATATATATATATATATATATATATATATATATATATATATATATATATATATATATATATATATATATATATATATATATATATATATATATATATATATATATATATATATATATATATATATATATATATATATATATCCTAGCTGTCTGGACTCATAAAATACAGGTCTTTATGAAACTGACCATTTCTATACTTATCTATTCCACACCAATCATTTCAATACTTATTTCTTATTTACTTCAATAGTTTTTAGTAAAATAATTTTATTCTAAAAAAATGCTTTGAGAGCAAAAAAAATTAATATGTGCACCTTTTCCGCATACATAGAGCTTATAAGAGATTTATAAAATAGTTTATTTTTCTCCTAAACGTATATAATCGATAGCTTTCAGTGATTCAAGTCCTCCCCTAAGTGTAATTAATTTTTAATTTTTTTTTATATACATTTATGGCAAAAAAATAAATATAACAAATAGGACTTTTAATTGTTAAAACAAAATTTCAATGTTTTTTTCTAGCTACAGGCTTTTCTTTTTTTTTTGTTGCCTCCACAGCAGCACTATCTGGGGTAGCAGGACAGCTTATTAAATTTTTTCTTTAATATGATTCAGATCTTAATTTTTTTTCAGACCATCCGCAGCTTATTAGGACTAATTACCTAAACACATTAATAACACAAGTATCTCCATCATGACACATGCACAAAATTCTCCTGGTGCTTAAAGGGATCCCAAACTCCCAACACATGTTGTGTTCATATTAAAGATAATGTTAAAAAAAATTGTTTGAATCAAATTTTTTTGATTAAAAATAAATAATGAATGCATACCGTGAAAAACAAATGTTGTTGTTTTTGCCGAAGCTCGTCTTCTCCATTTTTTTGAACTAATCGGAGTCTTCAAATTATGCGTCGCAATCTACAGACTTTGGCAATTCCTTTGAAGCGCGTTTAATTCATAAAAGTTTTAGTATTTGACGTCACGGTAGACTTTTAACAAAAGAAAAGTGTAATTATTAAAATTAGAAAAGAAAAATTAAACTAAGCTGCGTTTTTCTACTGTAGTATTTTTTTAACATACAGCAAAACAAATTTATTTGTATTATTTTTCCAAACATTTTACAAAAAAAATTTTGTAAAAAGTAAAAACACAATTGCAATTAATTAATTGCAACACAAGTCGGCACTATAAATTTTGATTATAAGTTTACTGTTCAATATTTTATAACCATTAAATAAATTATCTTTATTTTATAGGAGCATCTTATTTTTTACAGATATCTTAATAATTTTTAGATTTATATATCTTACTTATATTTCTTTAATTATTTAAATTAAAACAAATAATAAAGCTTTACTTACCAATCTCATGATTTTCATACGAGTATTTTACATTATATAGAACGTTTTATATACGGTCTCTTGTTTTTGCGCAAGAGAGCGCAGTATTATATATTCCGATTCTTAATTATTTTTATTTAAACAATGGGAACTATTTTCTAACTTCTCTGGTTATTTTTACGCTATGACAATTTTTTGTTTTTCCGTCGAAAAAAAGTATTTGTTAACAATTACTTTCATAAACTGACAGTATTAATTAGAGATATTTAATGAACTGTTAACTTTTTTCATTATAAAATTTTTTGATCACGCTGATTTAATTTAAATTGCTAAATTTGCTGAATTGGATAGGGATAAAAAGGAAATACCATTTTATTTTACATTTGATTTTTGATAATGAAATTTTTATAATGTCAGCAACTCCATACCAATTAGAACCTGTTAAGATTATGAAAAAAAAGTACAAGAATACACTAAGCAATACAGTTGACAGTAGTATCAGATATGAAAATTCGTGAAAAGATTTGTGAGATCCTGATTTTGCATTAAAAGTACAATTAATTGCAACACAAGTCGGCACTATAAATTTTGATTATAAGTTTACTGTTCAATATTTTATAACCATCAAATAAAAAACATGAAGTTTGTATATTTTTGCCCGTTTTATACAACTAATATTTAACAAAAATACGGAGAAATTATTATTAAATAACGCAATAATTAACACATTTATTTAAGGAAATAATTCAAGATAGATGGTAATTTAAATTGTTAAAATGTCATAACACGCATTAAAAAACATATTATATTTGGTATTTCCAAATTTGTGTCGTAATTGGCATTTGTCTCTTAACATGAAAAATTAAAAATTTTTAAAAACACAATTAACAAATACAAATTTTCAAGCAATTTTTCAAGCAATTAAACTTTTATTTCTCTCATCTAAAAAAAGAACGAGAGAAGCAAAAAAAAAATATATTCTATACAACTCTTACTCATTCAAAGTTTAATTGCGCGAAAATTTTCTTTCTCTTTTGTTCTACTCTTTTATAAAAAGAGCGCGCGATGAAATAAAAACTTTTCTTTTTTAACTTATAATTATAGTTTGTGATAGAAATAAATCAACAATGAGCAAAGCAACGAACAGATTAATCTGGAGCTATTTTGATATTTATGAAAATAATCAACATAAACAACATTACCAACAATAATTACCAAATAAACAACACAATCTCGCATAATTTTAGGGGCATTTTTTTTTTATTGCTTAGACGTTCTAAATAATAAGTAAATTTAGTTCAAGTTAATAATTATTAACTTGAACTAAATTTACTTATTATTTAGAACGTCTAAGCAATAAAAATAAAATGCCTTGTTTTACATTGATTATAATTAATGTAAAACAATTTTTGAGATAATAACTATTCATAATTTATAAACATTAAATATATGGCGCAATAACAATTTATAGTAACGAACCAGCATGAAATATTTAAGGTTTTTATTATCTTTTTACATATTAAAAGTAGAAAAATAAAAAACTAAACAAATAATCAAAAAAACTTCGACTAAAAATAAACAAAAATATTTCTAGAGTTTCTTTTGTTAAAAGTCTACCGTGACGTCAAATACTAAAACTTTTATGAATTAAATGCGCTTCAAAGGAATTGCCAAAGTCTGTAGATTGCGACGCATAATTTGAAGACTCCGATTAGTTCAAAAAAATGGAGAAGACGAGCTTCGGCAAAAACAACAACATTTGTTTTTCACGGTATGCATTCAATTTGGTTCAAACCTTTTTTTTTAACATTATCTTTAATATGAACACAACATGTGTTGGGAGTTTGGGATCCCTTTAAATGTTTATAGAAATTTTAAGCTTTCCCTAAAATTCTCTCATTTGTTATGTATATAAAATCTTTTAATATGTTATGTATATAAAATCTTTTAATATGTTATGGATATAAAATCTTTTAATATGTTATGTATATAAAATCTTTTAATATGTTATGTATATAAAATCTTTTAATATGTTATGTATATAAAATCTTTTAATATGCTATGTATATAAAATCTTTTAATATGTTATGCATATAAAATCTTTTAATATGTTATGTATATAAAATCTTTTAATATGTTATGTATATAAAATCTTTTAATATGCTATGTATATAAAATCTTTTAATATGTTATGTATATAAAATCTGTAGAGCTTCAAAAATATATTATTTTGAATTTTAGAAAATCATTTAAAAAAGATTAAAAAAATTTTTTAAATAGCATGTGTAAGGGTTTGAACCACAAAAATTTAATTCAGAAAGCTGCAAGCTAACGACTTTGACCACTAAGACGTATTGTTTGATAAATGTTTTAACAATATTTAATAAACAAAAGACTTAATAAAATGGCAAATAAATGCTATAAATCAAAATTAAGGAGATGTTGCAACATAAGGGAGATTGTTGTTGCAACAATGCAATTTTCAAGTTAAAGTCAAACTTTAAAACTTGATGTTCTAACATTAAGTAATTTGAAGTTTACATAAGTTAGATATTTGCATACACTTTCATTCACCTTTTCTTATAAAAAAATTGTTGTGATTCTTTTTCGCCACTAACTTGGGTGTAATGGCCACCATGAGTTCTGTGCAAACATGCACAAATTAGTAACAGCAGCAGCAGCGGCAGCAGCAAGTTCAGTATTAAAATATTATAGGATTTGTATATTTTTATTTTATTAAACTTTTAATTAAATTTTATTTAATTATTAACTTTTTATAACAACCATTGTATGTATTAATAAAATTTCAAAAGGTAAAATTTATTAGCTACTTTATGTATGTATAGAACTTTTCTTTTTTTTTTATGTTAAGTTCTTCTAGTCATTAACAGAATACAGTACAACCAAAAATTAAAAAAATTGGATTTAAAAATGCTCAAAATTGCGTTACCTAATTTTACATCTCCCTCAATTGTTAGCAGTATATTTGCCCCCTTAATGTCTCTGTGAATTTTATGTTGCTTGTGCATGTAATCTAGGCCCTAAAAAATAATGCAAAATAAAGAACATAAAAAGCAAAACAGTCTAAACCATGAAATTTATCATATAACTAAAAATTAAAATTAAAGTTAAAAAAGTAAATATTTTGTAACAACTTTGCCTGGATGTTTTTGTTTCAACAATGCAAATTTAAAGTTAGTTTTCCAAAAGTTATTTTTCTAATTGCATGAATATTAAAACATTAATTCTGGTAATCCACTTCTGGTATGATTTATTTTTTCTTTAATATAACTTGTTATATGAATTTTAAAAATCTAATAGTAACTCTGGTATCCAATTCTGAAGTAATTTGACATTATTTAACAATGAGGCTATCAAGCTTTCATTAACTTTATTCAATTCTTGCAATTTCTATTGCTGTAGTCCATAGATTACGGATAAAAATGTCTAAACCCAGTCATGTATACATACTTACATGACTGGGTCAATTTTTGTTTAATTAACAAAGATGATCATTTTGTTTTTTGTATATAAATATAATTATAATTAAAGGTTATAGTACATTCTTACAAAAATTTATTTTATGAAAAATAAATCCAATTGAAATTTGTTCTTAACCATAAATAGTATTTTATAATGCAAAGTTTGCAGCTTATTAGTCATAAAGAATTATCATAAAGAATTATCTTAAACCATTCATAAAGAATTACAATAATTATTCATTACTTGAAGTCCTATCTATAAATAATATTACATTAAGTCCGATCTATTCAACATTACTTAGAGTCCTATCTATTCAACATTACTTGAAGTCATCATTTACCTTACATTCATTTCAAAAAGTATAAGTTATTTCTATAAAAAAAAAAGATAGCACCATTACAAAACCCATCAATAAAATACACACCTTTATATATTTTAAGCCTTTTAAAATTTTTTAAACATTTTATATACTTATATCTTTTGTATATTTTATAACTATTTATGGCTGGAATTAAGTCAGCACAAATGTTTTTAACACAATGGTTACCATAACAAAATAAAAACAAGGTCAGCACCTTAGATACTTTAAGGCCAGCTTTTAGGTCAGCATTGCCTAATGCAGACCTTAGTTCCCAGGGCTGACAAAACCACAACAATTACACTAACAAAAGAATTTAATGGAAAAAGTTTGTAGAATTTTATGATGATGGTTTGAATTGTACTTGATGGCTACTTGATGGTTTGGATTGGTTGCAAATTTCTTTTACTTTTACTTTATAAAAATAACTTTGTAAAACTAGGGTTTGCTATGTTTTTCATTAATATTAAAGAAATAATTAGCATAAAAATATTTGTTTAATTGGTTATACTTACTTTTAACATTTCGGTGCAAACTGAGCCAACCATTACCTCTGTTAACGGACCAGTCACTACAATATTCAAAGTAAAAAAAAACATATTTATAACTAAATAATTTAATCCATTTAAATGTTAACTAATCAACAACTAAATAATTATTTCATGCCATGATATACATCTTGAAGAGAACCACCACCACAATATTCCATTGTGATCCAAAGTTTATCTTTTCTAAAAAGGTTTTATATAAAAATAATTTTAACTCTTTTAATTTATATTACTAACTTAATTAAGCATTAAGTATCACCTGAGATAACTCCCATGATATTGCACAATATTTGGATGTCTGCAATCTTGCATTAAACATATTTCTTGTTGTATGATCTCAAAATTATCTCCTATAAAAATAAATGAATATAAGTGCGCTACATACAAAATTATAAACTAAGAGTAAATGAGAAAAGCAATTTTATGGAGATTTTTTTTTGATGAAGGAACGAAGAAGACTATGTGAGGTAAGTGTTGCAAGAAAAAAATATATACTGAGTAAAAAGTGTTGCAAGAAAAAAATGTATACTCAGTAAAAAGTGTTGTGAGAAAAAAATGTATACTGAGTAAAAAGTGTTGCGAGAAAAAAATGTATACTGAGTAAAAAAAATGTATAATGAGTAAAAAAGACTCCTTGACTGTAGTGACTTAATTTAAGTTTTGCTTTGAATTTGCAGATCACATACACTTGAAATTACCAATCAAAAAGATAAACCATATTCATTACATACATATATATATTGTGTAAATCTAATTGAAAAGTATTTTCCAAAAACACATAAGTTTCGCAAAATTTTTATTAGGAATAGTTTAAAAGTCATTTATAGATGTCTTCCAAACTTCACCAATATTATTAATTAACACAATAAAAAAGTATTATCTAATGTTTCCAGCACAATCGTTTGAACATACATTTGCCGGCAACCTTCAATTTACATCTGCAATGTAAAAATATCACCGCAGGATAGTGGTTTAAATTATATTGGTTTAACGAAGCACACCTTTAAAGATCGCTGGTACAAGCATAAAAACTCCTTTCAATACGAAAGTAAAGCTAATTCCACAGAACCTTCTAAATATATCTGGGAAATGAAAAAAAAGGGATTTTCAAATCCTATTCTTACGTGGAAAATTATTGATAGGGCAGAACCTTTTGAACCTGGAAGAAAGTCAAGTAACCTTTGTTTAACAGAAAAATATCATATTATTACCTCATCTTTGAAACTATTAAATAAACGAAATGAATTAATATCAAAATGTCGCCACAAAAACAAATTTATTATCTGCAACTCTAACGTCATCTAAGCTAACACTAATAATTGTATTTTTGTATATAATTTTTGTTGTTGTTATGGTTGTTTGAAGCTGAAAATTGAATTTATGTCAAATTTTTCTGATGAAAAATTTATTAATAAAAAGACAAACTACCAATTATAATAAGTTCTAAGTTATCTAGAAAGTTTAAGATATCAAGAAAGTCAATTAAATAAAAATTAAAAAAAAAAATTAAAAAAGTTATAAAAGGATGTGTACATGCATTATTATCTTGAGCAATCAAGAAAACGTAGTTTGACCTGTTCTATTTATTAAGCTTGAGCCTCTCTCCCATCGTCATAAAGTTGCACCTCTTTCTCTTTTCTACAAACACTGTCATGGTTGCTGCTCAAAGGAGCTATCACCTCTTGTTCATCGACCAAAACTCATTTTTGCTTTACTCATCACTCAGTAAAATCTCCTTTTTGTTTACTGTATCTGTCGCTACATGTTCTAAAAACTTTTATCAATCTATTTTTTTCTCCACACTTCAATCCTTTCTCAGATCTTTATGTTTTTCTGACTCAAACAACCTACAACTTTTAAAGTCTTCTGTCAACCGTTTCGTTTGTTTTTTTTCCTAGTTGTGTTCCATCTACTCTATGTATACTAAAACTGTACATTTAGTTCTGTTTGCCGATGTGCATAATTTCGATTAACCAGAACTTACACCACTTTAAAACATTATTATTAACACCTTGTAATGTCATTGTGCCATTTATTTCTTTAAATCATCAAAATTTTGAATTATTTGAGATGATCTCATTCAAACTGTTAATGAAAATAATAATTTTTTTTTTTTAATTTGCACGAAACCTTGCTAATATACAAAAAAACCTATCAGTTATAACCGTTAACAAATCAGCAGTAGAACAAGAAGATCAAAATCCATACTGCTAAATGTTTACTAGTTCTAACTAAACTAAGTAGCTAAAAAGTTACTAAACTAAAAGTTGCTAAATATTATTTAGCATTTGGGTCATTCCATATATCAAATCACTTAATGGTCCCCAGGGTACCACTTCAGACTTGTTTCAATTTTTGATCACCCACAGATTTTATGAAAAAAAATCAATCCTGAAAATTTCAGCTTTATTGGTTAAACCATTTGAAAGTTATAATTGAATCAATATTGACCAAAATTAGAAAAATTTGAGTATCTTGAGATTACAGTAGATTTTTTTGATTTTTGACAGACCGTAACTTTTTAAATAAAATAGGTGACCAGCTGAAATTTTGTACATTAATAATTTTTCACCAGATTAATCTATTTTTGCATGTCTTTTTGACTGATTTTAAACAGTTTTAGAGTTATTGTACCCATAAGTCACCATAAGTCACTAAAAATTGCAATATTATAATTTTGAAAACTTTAATGTGCTACACAGGTTTGTGGAGCCTTTAATGTGCTACACAGGTGCCATGGAGCCAGGGAACCGCTGTTTTTTGGTGGAGCCGGAGCCAAATTAATTGAGCGGCAAAAAGATCTGGAGGAAAGAGTGGCATTAAGGATAAGAAAGCAGCAATAAGTATTCCATGATCATTCAAGCAAAACTCCAGCTTATCGAACAGAGAACAAGCCAAAAGGTATAAAGTTTCAGAGTTTTTTAAAGATTAAAATTTGGCAATCAATATGCAGCTGCAATATGAGATCTCGAGCTTTTGTCACATCGTCAACTTTAAACTTGGATGTTTACATCAAAGAATACTTGCAAGCTAGACTTTTGTAATTTTATTAAAGTCAAAAACAAAGTTGGTTCTGGCTTAATCTTGCTTCTTGTCATTGTTCTAAGAAGAGTGATACAATTGGAGAGACATCAAATTCATACCAAAAAGCTTAAATCCATCAATATGTACACAATTCCCTCCCGTTGAGAAATTTTGGGGAATTGGCAAAGAATATTTGCTTAAAATTGACAAAACAATAAATACAGCTAAAGATTTGATTAGAGATTGGACATTAGTAGGAAAAAAAATTTCCAAAGACACTTTGCAGAAGTTGATGTCATTGATTAACGCAAATGTTTGCTTATTTATTTGAAATAATGAAAAATATGAAAATAAAAAGCACTTTTATAATCTTCAAGTTCTTTAGATTAAAATAAATATTTTTTGTAGTTTTTGCATTAGTTGAGCATTTTTTTTTTTTAATTTAATTTTTCTATTGTTTTGAATTTAACGATTGCAAGTTTTACCCAATGGATACGGGACATATAAAAGAGGTCTTTTAAATGTCTTTGAAGTCCATTGGTCTTTTAAATGTCTTTGGATATCCATTGGGCTTGGGACTTAAATACGACGTAAGAAAGACATTTTTAAAACGTCTTTAGAATGTCTTGGATGCCTTTTGAACGTTTTGAATGTCTTTGGAACATTTAAAAGAAGTCTTTTTTAGGTACTGTGCCCCTGGGTAGAATTAGAACTAAAATTTGAACTAAAAACTCTAGTTTTGGGTAAATAATATATAAAAAAAAAATTGTTTTTTTACGCAAAAAAATTTTTTTTTTCAAATGTAATACCCTGTAGTATAGTAATACAATAACCTTGTAATCATGAGAGTTGGTTAAAAATTAATTGCTGGAATACCAATTCCAGAATTCTGGAATTGGTATAGTTTTGGGTTAACAAATGTGATCAAAAAAAAAATTCCAAAACTTGCAAAATTTCGTTCATAAAGTTAAGGAGCCGGAGCCGAGCCGGACCCAGATATTTCTTAGGAGCCAAGCCGTAAAAAAAAACAGTCAGCTCCACAAGCCTGGTGCTACATAGTTCAAATTCTATCTTATGATATGATTGTAGCCCTATGTGTCTATTTTTAACTTTTCCTAGAATGAATCTTTTCCCTGAACTCAGTTTTTCTTTTTTTCATACTTTTTTTCAGTGTCATAATTCAATTTATTTAAAATTATTTTCGAATATGTATTTAATTTTATGCATTTAATAGAATTAGATGGTTTTAAATAGAATTTAAAAACACCTCAATTGCATTAAAAATTGGTTTTAAAATCCATATCTAAAGTTTTAAGATTATATCTTTATTGGAAATATCTTCACTTAAAAATTTAAGTAAATGTGACAAGAATATGGAAAGCAAAAAGTTAAAAAACTAGATACAAGTATGACAAACCTAGTAGTATCAGCCTTTGATATAGACCCAAAAAAAAAAGTATTTGAAAAAGAGCAAAAAGTACATGAACTATATTGATTTAGACAAACCTTTTAGATGCAAAAAAAAAAAAAAGTAAAAAATAAGTTTGAAGGCAGAAAAAGTTCAACTACTTTAATTAACTCCTGATAGCTAATTGAAAAGAAAATTTCAGTTTAAAAATATCTTGTTAAGAAAGCCCTAAAAATGAAAAAAAGAATACTCGCTAAACCTTGGGCTAAAAAAGGTAACCTTTGATATTGTTAAACAAAAAGTCATTGAAATTTATGAATCTAAGAGTTCACAAGACAAAATCAAGGAAAAAAAGACTTTTTTTTTCTGTGTGTATTAAAAGAACTTCGTCTGGAGTTTCAAAACACAAGGTTGGATTCAATATTGCATTACAGTTGACAATAGTAGAAGTCACTCAGTTTTTGTATGTTATCAAAATGTTAAGTTGATGTGCGCTGCTTTACTTATTGGCCATTTAATATATTACAAAGGGTTGATGAAAGTATGTCTTTGTAATATAGATAGTCAAAGCTGCATGTTTCATCTATGTTTTAACTGCCCTAGAAAACTAAATTTGAAGACTTTGAAAATCGAAAAAAACGTTCAAAATGATCGTTCAAAAAGATATTCGAAAGGAATGATTTTGATTTTGACAATAAAATCTCAAACAAACAATTGAAAAATCAACTGACCAAACTGTACTTGTCACAGTCCAAGCAAGCATTATTGAGTTTATTGAAACTGTGCGTGAAATTTTGTATGATCTTTTTCACCACCACTAATTTATCAAAGAAGCACCTACTTATCAGAGGCAAAAATAAATCAACACACTTTCCAGAGAACTACATTTACTTGAGCAAGATGCTGTAAATTGATTTT